CTATATAAGAGCAGAATGTGATTTTAGCCTCTCCAGTCCTTGGGTCAGTTTTGTTAGTATTTCAACTTTTAAAAACCTGTGTTAAAATAAGAATGAAATGCAAGAATATAGGTGGCATAATGGATTGCCAGGTACCAGACAGCCAAGTGGAGGCACAGTATGATGAGCACTGTTGCCCTAACTAGGGGGCCTCCCAGTCTAAATACCTGGTGATCCTATCCCTTTTTACTTTCTTAAGACAGGGCCTTGCTATGTAGCACAGGCTGGTCCCAAATTACCTCTTCTTTTAGGGAGTACAGTACCACGCCTGGATTGGGAATTCCTTTGGAATCCAGTCTCAAACATGCTCGCACCTTGGGAATTGGGGCAGCTGGGTCTGAAGTTGTGAGGGGACTGAGGTCACACCACTCATTTTCTTAGCTCTTTCACCCTGACATCGCTCCCATTTTCCCATCCTTCCAGTCCCCAGAGGGGAGCAGCCAAGTCAAGTTCATAAGCCAAGGCCAAACTTTCTCACCAGAGTTCCTGTTGGAGCGTGTATTCATGTTTTTAAAGTAGGCCAATCAAGGGTCAGTCGCTAGTGGTCAAGGAGCCCTCAGAAGTCTTAGCCAAGAGGTTGTAGGGTGCATTTTTCTGATGAGGGGACAGTAATTCTTATTAAATTCTTAAGAAGTCAAAAACCACAAAAGTGAATCCAATTCGCCTCATGCTGTGATTGGAAACTGAGCCCAGGGAAGACTTAAGACTCTCTGCTCATGAAGGTGAGCATTCAGCCTTGTTCTGAGGTCTCTTCCTGCTTCAGGACCATGGGACCCTGTATATGGGGTCTGTGTGGGGACCCTGTATGGGGGAGGGGGCTGCAATACTGGATACTTCTCATACAGAATCTGTGCCAGCTGTTCCTGAAAACAGTGAAGGGTTCATGGTATGGCTGTGAGTGCCAGACCAGAAGCAAGTCTGTCCTACCTACCTCACCTCCTCGTCAAGACCCCTCCCCGCAGAAGAAGAGGGTACAGAGGGAAGGAGGGCAGCGGGAGGGAGAGAACCAAGTGGGCAGCTAGAAGCTGCTCATCCCGAGCTTGGCCAGTGACTTCTCTGGCCATGTTGGGGAGAGGAAGAGGATGCGATTGCATGGATGCCCAGGGCCTCTCTCCCTTAGGCCTGAAGCCTATGTTATGGGCTAGGCCCAACTTCTTTGCCCCATGGCAAGGAAGACCATTGGTTTGGAATTGAGACAAACTCCTTTCAACCCCATGTCTCTTCTTCCACTTTCTGGAGGGGATAAACAAGAATGTTACTGTCACATCTGCTTCAGCCCGATTTCCTTTGAAGAGGAGAGTGCAGAACAGGGGTGGGATGCCCTCAATTTCGACCCTAGCCCATTTCCTGTACTGGTGTAGTGAAGCGCAATGCGGGCTGGGACTGGAAGAGGGTGCGTGCTTACTGCTGTGGTGCTGGGATAGTGGGGCCCTGAATTTCCCCGGTAGGGGTTCTGAGAACTAGAGGCTACTTTGGGTTCCTATTCTCTTTGGAGCTCCTCAGACAAGACATCTGAGTTAGACTCATCTGTTCCTAAGAGCTTGTGTAGCCTAGGCTACCCTACCACACTCAAAGTGGCTTCTTCCCTCTTCTTTTTCCGTTCCGGAATCTCTTAAGATCTATATGGCTCCTGCTTTTCCCCTTGGCCAATAAAATTCGTTTCCCAAGCATTGGAAGGTGCCCCTTTACCCTGTCCTTGCAGAGGAGAGAGGCATCAATTTTGATGGAGGGGGGTGGGTGAGAATAAGACTGGATTACAACCCAGTTTGCTGGAATGCTCTCTGAATTGACAATAAAACAAGTCTGGACACTTACGGAGTAATGAGTTTGGTTTCAAGTGGATCCCAGAGAAACCTTGAACTTTACAGCTCCCTATGGACTAAGGGACAGGACTGCTCTCTTTGGGACAGAGGTGTCTCTCCTTTGTCCACCCCTCCCTTTACTCCTAACAGTCTTTGTTTTCTCCCATTTCTGAGCACCCAGTATGAAACTTGTACACAGCAAGTCACCCAAGCTGCCACTCGGGGCTCCTGGAACCTTCCTGGCATTTGTACTTACAGGAAATGAAGGTGTGGCTGGAGGTTCCCATCCCTATTTTCTCCTCTAGGCTCCCTCACAACCTTGGAGACTCAGTTTGGTCACTGGGACAGAAGCTAAACATCTCTGCATCTACATCCCCAACAGCATGTGATAGCATGGACCTATGTTTATCTAGCAGATGGTGATGTACAGATCTAAGTCCAAGGCCCCCATTGCTCAGTGGTAAGCTGGCTGACTGAGGCCACAGCATTATAGTAGCCTTCCTCAATTTTGTTCTGGGAGCCCCAGATACAAAGTATTTGTTGCCATAGATTCAAATTCTGGTGGAGATAAGTACAATAAATTACAACTAAAAAGAATGTTATAGGCTAAAGGAATTATTAGATGGAAATGAGTGTATTGGTTGTGGAACACAGTGGAGGAGCTGTGCTTGTCTAGGGTAACAGGAGGTGAGCTGAGAGCAAAGGATGACAGTGACTTACATGGCCAAAAACAGCAGATGTGCATGTCCTAAGTGGACAAAGTCTCTTGTGCTCAGTGCAAAGAGAGAAGGGGTGTGGCTGTGACTGTGGATATCAGGAAAGGATGCAGAATGATGGGAAGCCTGGAAGGGTTTGTGTTGTAGACACACAGTGTTTATAATCCATGTAACAAGCAAATGGGGAAGTCATTGGCCATCTTACCTTTGATTCAAGAGCCAGGTGAAAGGAGGTGGCAGGTATAGCATATTTGTTTAATATGTTTATCACTTACCTTCCTTGTTCCTGCACTAGAATACCTGACAGAAACAACTTGCAGGAGGGGAGGAAGGTTGATGTCACTTCAGAGTTTGAGAGGGTCACAGACTACCAAGGCCAAATTATGTAGCTGGGGCTCTTTGTTGTGTTTTGTTTGCATATGTGTATATTTGTGATCTGGTTATGTGTGTTCACATGTATATGGACACACATGTATGTAGATGTACATGTATTCATATGTACATGGAGGCCAGAAGTTGATGACAAGCATCCTTCTCTATATTGAATCCAAGCTCTCTACCTCTTTATATTGAAACAAGGTCTGTAACTTGAACCTTGGGCTTGCTGATGCTAGCCAGGCTGCTTGGAGGATCCTCCTGGGTACTGACTGGAATTGCAGGTGGGTCACTGTGCCTGCCCTGTACTTATGTGGGTTCTGAGAATCTGAATTCCATGCCTCCCACTTGCATGGCAAACACTTTATCCATGGAGACATCTCGGCAGCCCTACCACACACATCTTGATGGATCCAGAAACAGAGTACTCCGGACGAAACTGCAACTGGCTATAGCCCTCTTTTTTACTCATGTGGCCCTATGTTTGCTTGTTAGATCCCAGTCCAGAATGCTTCACAACTTCTGAAAGCAGTGCTACCAGCTGGGGACCAAGTATTCCAACACACAAGCTTGTGGGAAACCATTAGCATTCAAACTTAAGACACAAAGTGCCCCATATTGTAGTTAGACTTCATCTGTCACTGGCTTTTGAAGGCACCATGCTGTCATAGACTTCTGTTTATCCTAGACACATCTGTAGGGGCACATGTCCTGTGCCAAGCATCACACTGCACTGCAGAAGCATGCTTCATCTGACCCTCGGCAGCCCCTTTTACCCACCTGCCACAGCAGCCTTCCACATCACAGGAAATAAAGTTGTTCCTGGCTTACACTCCTCCTTTCTGTCTCAGTCAAACTAAAATCCTTGCAGTCACCTAAGATCCCTGCTCCCTGGACCCTACCTGCAGGCTCTCTGCCTGCTGTGGCTGCTTCTCTAGTTGACCTTGCCAACCCAGTGGCTTTCCAGTTAGGATGGTGCCCCAGCTGGTCCCAAGAAGCGCATGCTGCCTCAGGCACTCAGGGCTTTTGTACTTACAGCTTCTTGAAGCTTTGTCCTTCCCAGATTTCCATGGCCTGCTTCTCAGTTTCTCAAGATCTCCTCTAATACAAGTCTGATGACATCACTGTTGCTATGACAGAAGGCCATAAACAGAATAATTCATAAAGAATCTAGGCACATTCAACTTGTGTTCTGAAGCCTAAGAAGTTCAGGAAGGGTAGGGCATTCACATTTGGTCAAGTCCTTCTTGCTGTGAAGAAGAATGCTCTTTGGCTGCTCCCTGCCCCCTAGGGGAGGGGATGTACAGGGCAGCAAATTTCCAGGTAGAGCAAGTGTCCAATTGTGTCTCTTTCCTGCTCCTCCCCCTCTTCCTCCTTATTCGCCCTCTCTCCTAAAAAGATGGGTTCCTACTATGATGTAGCCTAGCCTTTTTCTGTCTTTAATTTAACACACAGCCTAGGCTAGCCTTGAATTCTCCATCCTCCTGCATCTACCTTCTTAAGTTCTGGGATGATAGGCCTGTGCCATCACTCCTGGGTTTACTTCCTCTTACAGAGCCACTAATGCCATCATAGACTCCCTGCATCATGATCTCATCTAATCCTACCGAGTTCAAATCACATTCCCAAATACCATGAACATACGACACTGGAGACTGAGTTTCCAAAACATAAATACTGAGGGATGCATCTAAACCTCAGTACTCCCCGGGTATACAGAACTCTGTCATTTCTTGTCCCCCCCCCACATAAAAAACATCCTGACTTCTCCTTAGCATAGTGGGGGTCCTGTAGATTAGCTATGGGCTGTCTATCCATATGACACTACATAGGGGTCCCATGATCATGTGTAGTGCTTCAGCTCCCACTGCATGCCCAACACATAGGATGCCACCTCACTCTGACCTTCTCATATCAGAATGATAGAACTACTTAGAGAAGAGGCATCGCAAGCATGTGTCTGACATAAATTTCTCTACCATCCAGGTTTCATGGCAGGAATAGTAACACCCCTGAAATCATGACAGTGCTATGCCTAGATTTATGATCTCTCTGTGTGTCTTTCCAGGTTCATGGCTCTCCCATGCTCTGAGAGGATTTTGCTCTGACCACAGACCCCTGGCTGAGCCAGGACTACATTTTGCTGCTACAGTGTCTCCAAGCTAGTCCACAGGCCCTTGGCCACGTATCACCATGGGCAGTGTCAGCAGCCTCATCTCAGGCCACAGCTTCCACAGCAAGCATTGTCGTGCCTCACAGTACAAGCTGCGCAAATCCTCCCACTTGAAGAAGCTCAACCGGTACTCAGATGGGCTGCTGAAATTTGGCTTCTCCCAGGACTCAGGACGTGGCAAGTCCAGCTCCAAAATGGGAAAAAGCGAAGACTTCTTCTACATTAAGGTCAGCCAAAAGGCCCGAGGCTCCCATCACCCAGACTACACAGCCCTATCCAGTGGGGACATGGGGGGTCAGGCTGGAGTAGATTTTGACCCAGCCACCCCACCTAAGCTCATGCCTTTCTCCAATCAGCTAGAAATGGTAAGTGGGATTCTTTGACAAAAGTGTCTGGGGGAGTTGGAACAGGATGAGAAGTAGTTGGGATGAGTACCCTGGTTCAAGCATTTAGCCCTGCAAGAGGCCAGAGCAGCAGTGATGAGAGCAGAAGCATTTGGCCTCACTTCAGAAATCAAAAGTCTATTCCCTAAACCGGAAGTCTTTGGTTTGCCCTGGAACAAAGGGCAGTGGTGAGCCTCAGCCTTTCTGGGCTCTGCTGGGATATAATCTGGATGGTTCAGGTAGGCCAAATGTCAGCAAGTTCACAGGCTAGGGAAGAAGGGGGCCTCTGGGCCTCTGGGAAGTGAGCATCCTCACTCTATCCCTGCCCTATCTGTAGTTTGGTTTCTGGCCTCTTGGCTGGAGATGAGCCATGGAATTTTGTTATCAGACAAGCTGGGATGCCCACAAAGAGCCCTGGGTATTCAGAAATCCAGCCCCTCCAACTGTAATGAGTATGTTTTTTTTCTGCTAGCCTGGACCCACCGTGGCACCAGCCCCAATTAACACACTGAGACTTTGTATTTGATATAATGCTGTTGGCCAGGTACTAGTTTCTTATCAGCTAGCTCTGTCTTAATTATTAATCCATTTCTATTAATCTAAGTATTTCCACGTGGTCTCATCTTACTGGAGAGTGGGTCCAGACCTCTGTTTTCTCCAGTCTCTACATGCTGACTCCTCCCTACTCCTTCCTGGAATCCTCCTTGTCTCCTAGTCCCACCTATCTTGCTTTCCTATTGGCCAACAGTGCTTTATTCATTAACCAGTATGAGAAACATATTTACAGAATGACATCTCCCATCATCCAACAGTTCAAGATCTCATAAGCCTCACTAGTGCACATTGGAAACAAGTTACCTATTCAGTCCCCACGCCCACTCTAAAGCATGGGTTAAATACCCCTTATCTGAAATGTTGGGAACAGGAGTGCCAGAGGCTTCAGGGTTGTTGTCTTTCAGAGTATGAAATATTTGCATGGACGTTAGATATCTAAGTGGAAGGTGATTATGTAATGTTTTAAATAATTTATGCACAAACCAACCCAAAATCTCCTAGTGTTGGATTTTTTCCACTCTTGGCATCTTGTCTAGACTCAAAAAGCCTTACAGATTCTGGAGCATTTCAGAGCTGAGATTTTTAGGACCAGGGATTCTCAAGGCAGAATAAGAAAGATGCCCATGCTTGCAGAGTTTTCCAAACAAAGGTCTTTTGAAAGGCGAAGATCCCCCACTGGGGGAAACTGTAAGTTTCAGAAAGGACTTCTATTCCAAATGATCTTCCAACCTGGCCTGGAAGTAGTGATTCAGCCTTGAGCTAAGCTAAATGGAAGAGACGGAGGGCAAGGAGGTGCTGTGTTTACACAGCTTGCCATCCTGGCTGCACCACACCTCTGTGCCCATCTAACCTCCCTAGAGTGCTGGGATCCGGTGACAGCTACTGCTGTTAGTACAGTGCCTACCTAGGCCATCACTGAAGAGGTTCTGCCTGCCTCTGCCTCTCAAGTTAATGACTAACTGGGTATGCCATCAGCCTGGCCTTCAAGTGTTTTCATCTTTTTAAAAAAGATTTGTCTATTTTTATTTTATTTTTTATGTATATGAGTTTTTAGCTGCATGTATGTATGTGTACCACAGTTGAGCCTGGTTTGCACAAAGGCCAGAAGAGTGTGTCAAATTCTCTGGAATTAGAGTTTTAAAACAGTTGTGAGCCACTATTTGAGTATGGGGAACAGAATCTTCCTCTGGAAGAGCAGCCAGTGTTCTTAACCACTGCCTCCAGTCCCCTCAGAGGGTTTCTTAAGAATGGTATACTCGGGTGGGTGAAATGGCTCAGCAGTTGAGGGCTTGCCACCAAGATAACAACCTGACTCCCACATGGCGGAAGGAGAGACTGGTCTCCTGTAAGTTGTCCTCTGACTTCCACATGTATGCTGTGCATGTGTGTACACACACACACACATACTCACATATACACAAGAAAGGTGTTCTATACTCAGCCGGCCCAGAGCTAATGACAAGATTTGCCATGGCTGCCAACCAAGAAAGGTGTCACTTGTCCTCCTTAGCTCAGGTGGGCTCATGAGGATGGCCCAAGTGCATCTACAGTGAGAAAAGGTAAGATGAGTGTGGGAGAGACAATCAAGGCTATGTGCTCCTTTGTTTCCCCAGAGCTCTGATAAGGGGGCAGTGAGGCCCACTGCCTTCAAGCCTGTGCTGCCACGGTCAGGAGCCATTCTCCACTCTTCACCCGAGAGCGCCAGCCACCAGCCTCACCCCATGCCTCCAGACAAGCCCAAGGAACAGGAGCTGAAGCCAGGCCTGTGCTCAGCGGCACTGTCTGACTCAGGCCGGAACTCCATGTCTAGCCTGCCCACACACAGCACCACCAGCAGCTACCAGCTGGATCCTCTGGTCACCCCTGTGGGGCCTACCAGCCGTTTTGGGGGTTCAGCCCACAACATTACACAAGGCATTATCCTTCAGGACAGTAATATGATGAGCCTAAAGGCTCTGTCATTCTCTGATGGGGGCAGCAAGCTGGCTCACCCAAGCAAGGTAGACAAGGGCTCCTCATGCGTGCGTTCCCCACTCTCCACGGACGAGTGCACCATCCAGGAGCTGGAGCACAAGCTGCGGCAGAGGGAAAGCGCGCTGCACAAGCTACAGCGCAGTTTCGATGAGAAGGAGTTTGTCTCTGGTCAGACCTTTGAGGAGCGGCCAAGGCGAACCAGGGACGAGCTGGAGTGCATGGAACCTAAGGGCAAGCTGAAGCCAGCCTCTCAGAAGACCCAGCGCACACAGCAGGTTCTCCAGCTGCAGGTGTTACAGCTGCAGCAGGAGAAACGGCAGCTACGGCAGGAGCTCGAGAGCCTCATGAAGGAGCAGGATCTGCTGGAGACCAAGCTGAGGTCCTACGAGCGGGAGAAGACCAACTTCGCCCCTGCACTGGAGGAGACCCAGTGGGAGGTGAGATTCTACTAGCCCGCCCTGGCTTTGCTACCTACACCTGTGCTGGCAAAGCAGTATCCAGTGGAACGCTAGGGCCTATGCTGCTAAAGAGACAGCTTTATGACTGAGGAAGGGGCTCCTGAGTGAACTAGCATAGGGGATGCTCTGAGTCAGGACTGACTATGTTTCTTGCTCGTTCCATCACCCTCCTAATGGTCCCCAGTCTTTGAATTTACTAGCCTAGTCTTTGGTGGGAAGCCAAAACCCAGACAGGGAGGTTCAGCCAGGCTGCCTCAGGGCTGATCTCACATATGGGAGACTAGGCAGAAGCATAGTTGTGCCTGTATCTGTTGGGTCTGAGAATCCTAGAGAAGGAATGGGTCTGCTTGGTGCCTTGGGGACAAGGGCCCTAACACTGTTGTGAGTGGAAGGCAGCCAGTGATGAAATTGACCCCCCCCCTTGTTGAGGTGTAAATTCAGCTCCTACTGAGATTTAAACACTGTGCAAAGAAGAAAAAGGACAAACAGACACATAGTCCCACTTTGGTGACTACTTTTGTTTTCTTTTTGTCTTGAGTTTTCTTTGCGCGCGTGTGCGTGCGCGTGCTGAAGATCAAATCTAGAGCCTCACATTTGCTAACAAAACACTCCATCCTGGGTCTATTTCTTCAGCCCTTCAGTCATTTCGGAATGAGTCTTATGAGCCTAGCCTGCTGGAGAGCAGTCAGGGTCCCTTCATGAATCTTGCTAGCTGGAAAGTAGCTTCCCCCATCTCTACCCTGAGCAGCCCTCATGGCCCAGGAAGGCAGGGAGGGTATGTGCACATCAGTATTGGTGTTCACTCTGAAAATTCTATGGAAGGAAGGAAGGAAAGACGGAAGGAAGAAAGGAAGTTGTTCCATTGGGTGAATTAGCATCACGCCTGGATGGAATGGCTCACCATCAGCAGTGTGGCCCTGACTGCCTGTAAAGTGACAAGAGTCACAAGAAGGGCAAAGAAAGGGACCTTTTGTGCATTTCAGAGATAAAAAGTGAGTGTTGGTCTTTGTCATCCATCTTTATAGTCCAGTCTAAAACTAAGTTGGATATTACAACGATCTTGTTCCTACTTAGCAAAATAATAGCAAACAATAAAAAATAATAAATGGTGGCAGAAATATTGTTATAAACCCATTTAATTTACAGGGAATTTAGGAAATACCGTGTTCTTCTATCTAACCCCTATAACCATATTATGAAGTAGGTATGTTAGAGATTTTCAGTTTATAATTAGAAAACTGACACACAGATTAGTTACAATAGTAATATCTGGCCAAGTGACTTGGTTAACATCTGATACATATGAAAGACCAATTTAGGCTTTAACTATTAGAATGTGGACTGGAGCCAGGCAGTGGTGGCCCATGCACACCCTTAATCCTAGCACTTGGGAGGCAGAGGCAGGCGGATCTCTATGAGTTCAGGACCAGCCTGGTCTACAAGAGCTAGTTCCAAGCTCCAAAGCTGTACAGAGAAACTCTGTCTTGAAAAGCAAAACAAACAAAAGGAATGAAGACCGAAAGCTCTTATTTTTATTAATTATTTGGGGGGTGGGTATGTACATGCCACAGCCCAAATGTGGAGGTCAGAGGTCAACTTTCCAGAGTTGGCTCTTTTCACCATGCGGGTTCCAGTGATAGAATCCAGCTCGTCAGGGTTGGAGACAAATGAGTTGACCTTGTGAGCCAATTCACCTTAACCATCTTCAGAGTTCACATTTTTAGCTGTGTGTTGTCTCCATGCTAATGTGTGCCAGCTTCACCTGGTACATAAGTGATCCAAGTGGGATTCAAAGCCTGTACTTCAGACTGTCCTCACTCCCTCACTCCCTCAGACTAATATAGGCTTGGTAGGTTACAGGGTTTTTTTTGTTTGTTTTTGTTTTTGTTTTTTTGTTTTTGTCATTGTAACAAAATGCACAAGATAGGCAATTTACAACAAAGAAAGGTTTGTAGTATTGGAGGTTTCACTTCATGATCCACTGGCAAACTGTTGGTTTGGGCCTGGGATGAAACAGCATATCATGGTTGGGGCATGTGGCCATGCAACTGTCACCTCATAGCCAGGAAGCAAAGAAGGGAACAAAGAAGGGACCAGGACCCACAGTCCCCTTCAAGGGACAATGATGAAACATCTTCCACTAGGCCTTGCTTCTAGGAAGTTCCACTAGCTCTCAGTGTTACCACACTGGAAACCAGGCTTTTAACATGTGGGCTTTGGGAGATATGTGAGGTTTGGCAATGTCCTTGTCAAGAAACTCTGGGCTTTAGCTGTGCATGGTGGTGAGACTGTGTTCTCCTTTACATTGGTCAGGGTTTCACTGGGAACAAAGCGGGAGCTTTACTGGGAGAGGAAAGGGGAAATTCAGGGGTGATGGCCTCTGGTTTTGTTCCAAGAATCCATTCTGTAGTGCCAAACCCTGGCCTTCATTTTATTAGTCTAACTGGCTTTGGTCACCAGGCTTCCTTGTTTGTGGGAGAAGTTCATGGTGGGGATCAAGCACAGGGCCCCATGCATGCTAGGCAGGCATTTTCTTTTAAACTTTTTTTCTTTCATGCTTTCTTTTTTAGTCGGAGGTGAGAGGAGATATCTGAGAAGGGCTTGATATGAATAGGCTGGCGTATACCAACACTTCAAACCATACCATGGCCCTAAATAATGCTTATGACTCCAAAGAGCCAAGACCCCAGAGGCACACTGACCTGACTTAATTGTGCTCTTGGCCTAGCTTTCATGGCCAATGAATGGGTGTTGAAGTGGTTGGAGAAGCCAGGAAGGGAGGAAGCCCACAGTTCATTGTTTGGCAGATATGTACTGGACACTGCCTTTGGGCTTGTGGGGTGCAGCAGGACAAAGTGGAATGGTTTTACCCAGAGGTGAGTGCAGGGCTGAGTACATGCAGGTGTGAGGTTTGGGCATTTGTACCCTCAAGCTTGGATCCCTGGTGTTAAAGGTAAGTGGTAGAGCCAGAGCAGTGGGCAGAGTAAGCCACTGATTATTGAGTAGCATGTTGCCTTGGGTTGGGGCACAGATTGGGGTGTGGAGCCTGAAGTGGAGATGAGGTAGGCCTTTGGAAAATGCAGGCAAGAAAAGTAGATTGTCTACATTCATGAGAACCATGTTGATGGCACCCAGTCAAGGGCAGCCTGAACCCTTTAGGAAGTGGAGATGTCATCTTAGGATGCCAATCACTTCTGGCACCATATCTCACCCTTTCTCACCCCACCCTTGGCAGGTGTGCCAGAAGTCAGGTGAGATCTCTCTTCTGAAGCAACAGCTCAAAGAGTCCCAGATAGAGGTGAACACTAAGGCCAGCGAGATCCTCAGTCTGAAGGCACAGCTGAAGGACACTCGGGGCAAGCTGGAGGGCATGGAGTTGAAGACACAGGACTTGGAGAGTGCCCTGCGCACCAAGGGGCTGGAGTTGGAGGTCTGTGAGAATGAATTGCAGCGCAAGAAGAATGAGGCAGAACTGCTGAGAGAGAAGGTGAACCTTTTGGAGCAGGAGCTGCTGGAGCTGCAGGCCCAGGCTGCCCTGCATCGAGAAGCTGCATCCCTGGGGCCTCTGGGGGTGGGGCCTACTTTCTCAGAGGACATCCCTGCCCTGCAGCGGGAGCTGGAGCGACTGCGGGCTGAGCTGAAGGAGGAGAGGCAAGGCCATGACCAGATGTCCTCAGGCTTCCAGCATGAGCGCTTGGTGTGGAAGGAAGAGAAAGAGAAAGTGATCCAGTACCAAAAGCAGCTGCAACAGAGCTATTTGGCCATGTACCAGCGCAACCAGCGTCTAGAGAAGGCCCTGCAGCAGCTGGCCCGTGGGGATGGTGCAGGGGAGCCCTTTGAGATTGACCTGGAGGGAGCTGACATTCCCTATGAGGACATCATAGCCACTGAGATCTGAGGGGCTGCCTAGGGGACAGAGGGTTGGCGACTGGACCCCAGAAGGCAGGGAGAGCTAAACCTGTTCCAAGAGAGAAGTCAGCTCTGGGGCCCAGACTCCTCAGTGGTGGGTAGGGGTCACGACATAGCCTTTCCTCCCCTCTTGCCTTTTTTAGTCTAACTAACCCTGCTTCTTATTGGACCTTGATCTCTGAACCCTGAACTCTCCTGGAGATGTGTTCAGGGAGCTCCATGGATTGGTTGATGTTTCCTTCAACTTGGGTCTCATTCGAAGTAGTGAGACAGGCAGTCCATCAGGCACTGGGGCAACTGCCATACAGGCCAAATGGCCACCCAAGGGCAGAAACATCTTCTCTGTCATCCCCAAACCCCTGTCACCCCCTAGGCATATTGGAATGCCTTGAGATAGAAAGAAGCCATGTGTAACCAGAAGCCTTGGACACTATTCACTGTAGCCTGTTCTCTGACTGTGGAGGTGGAGGGGTTAGGTTGCCACACAGTATAGTCAGCAAGCCATGGGAGGAGGGGTGGTGGTGGACAGTTCTGCATTACAGAGCTGTCACAGGTCTCCCAGAGGTCAGAGTAGAGGTGAAGGGAAAGACCCATGGCAGACATTGAGATTCAAAGTCTAAAATGAACTGCACAGCCCCTTTACCCTCAGTGATCACTCTTTTTAAAGCCATAGATATTGGGGCCCCTGGTGGGATGCACGGAAATGACATGAGGCATAGCTTCCCAGCTGTTCCTGGGGAGCCTCCTACTTGGTCTAACTGAGGCAAGGCCCCAGGGGCTTCCCTGAATGGTTCAGTTGGCCAGCAGCCAATATAGAATGCCCCCCCATATCACTCTTGCTTGGATCCAGAATAATCCATCCACTTAGATAGTATACGTGGGAGCTGGGCATTAAGCCTCCCTTGCCTGTAGCCCTAATCAGCAGCATCTCTTCCCCTACAGCATCTTCAGAGCTATGTTAGGACTTTGCATAGATTGGGAAGGGTCACCAGTGCTGAGTGGGCTGCAGTCCAGGGTTGGGGGTTTGATACAAGGCACATGCACAGAGTCTACTCCCACCACATGTAGCCCCATGCTGTAAAGATTCAGTCTAGAGAACAGCAAGTGAACCTGTGGGACTTGTCTTTTGAAGATTATCTAGTGCTAGGGACAGAGGGAAGTACAGTTGCTTGGTTCAAGGGATTATCTTCTTCTCTTCCCTCCCAGCTCCCATTCTGTATTTCCAAAGCAAGCCAGAATAAGCAGGCAGCCAGGCTGCTCCATATTCTATTTTTGGCTCTTACCACAGCTGTTGTTGGTAGGACACCCAGCCCTTGCTGGATTCCTGAGCCATGTGCTTGCCTGGTGGGCGGGACCCAGGGAATAGGAGATACAAGGGAGGGTCTGGGTGCTTGGCAGTCCAGGAATTAACCCTTCTACCTCCCTAATGCTGGCCCCTAGAGTCCCTAGGTGGACCCTGTCTTTCCAGGGGCTTTCTTCCCTTCCTAGTGTCTGCAGACTACATGCCTCCCCTGTAGATGGCTCTGCTGTCTGATCCGAGGGTAGGGCTTGGCCTCTCTCCAGCTGACTTCCAATGTCCTCTGATCTACCATTGCCCATAGTCACATGCTCAATTTAAACCTGGAATTTACAGGCCAAAGATGATAGCACACACACACACCCCACTTGCAGAGTCATACCCTCCACTGGGCACAGGTCCACAGTCCAGTTAAAAAGAAATCATGGCCCTCGGTCCTTTGTTCTCTACCAGTCTGTGCCTTTTTTGACTCCTCCTTCCCACTGAGACTGTCCAACAGAGGGAGAACAAGATGGAGGTTAGCTGTCCCTCCCTAGACTGAAGGTCCCCACCCCCTGAAAGAACAGCCAGAAGTCCAGGGCTGTGCCATGGAGTCCTTGTTCAGGAAGACATGGGTGCCATGCCTGGGGCAGGCACACAGGCACAAAGCTTGTACTCTGTATCTGTGTCAGGTGCCTTCTACTCACAGGGAGTTCTCCCCATGTCACTGCCCAATGGTCCTACCCCAGGTCATCTTTGAGACCTTTGTCTGGGACTTGTCCAACAATCAACGTGGCAGATACCCACCCAAGATGCTAACAGCCCCAGATCCCAGGGTAACTCCAAGATGCAAATGTGCTGTAACCCAGTAGACTTTCCTTCTTGTGGGCTTCTTGAGGGTAAAGTACCCTCACTCTCTGTGGTCCATGCTCGTGTTGGGAGGCTCAGATTGAACAGCCATTGAGTGGGGATGGGATGTGTAGGTTCAGGTCAGACAAGTAAGCCTGCTGTGGTTTGCCTTTCAGAACCATGCTGTTCCCCAGAGGTGTCTGGTCTGGGAATGCTGCTGTTCCCCTTGCTCACTTCTATTCTCTTTAGGTGCCCTTAAGCTTCAGCAGGAGACCATTTGGAGGACTGGCCATCTCTCCTCTGAAAAAAAAAAGATGCTTGCTGATCCTCTTGTCCCTGGCTCTAGCTTGGCTGTGTCTCTGGTGAGAGAGATGTCCAAGGGAAAGCCAGGCTGGACCAGAGATTTCCCTAGGACCTGAGCTCTCCTCAGATGCCACGTAACAGACCGCAGCACCCCTCAATGGCACCTGCTTTCCCCTTTGACCACTCTGGAGCCCTTGGCAGAGACTGGTTTCTAAGGGATTGGCATTTTGAAGACTATGTACATAGTTATTTTTCTCTCCCTTGTTTGTGGTTTGCTTTGCTCTCGATGGCTTCATCTTGTTTTATTTTCAAAGTTCTTTGTTGGCTCTGTAAACTATTTCTGGTAATTTTATGTTTTTATTTATGAATAAAGAATGCCATTTTTCATGTCTTCACAGTCATGTCACTCTTGTCTCTTCAAGCTAATCCCTGCTCCTCTGCCAAGATGTAGCAGGCAACTTCTGGTGACCTCTCCCTTCAGAGCCAGAAAGGCAATGTCCCTTTGTGTCAGCTGGGATGGTCCTCACTTAGAGGCCTTGAGGAAGGCAGCTCTGTGACCTGGAGAACCCTGTCTTCACTCGTCTGGTGACCTTACATGTGACATGTGTTTTGGGCTGACCTAGAGGAAAGAGGGAGGGAACCAGGGGCCAGTGACTTCAGAAATATGCCCCTTCCCAACCATAGCCTCTCAGCTCCTCCCTCTACCAGCTGCTCACCTCATAGCCAATATTTGACCCATGGCACATGGGCTTTTGGCAAGGGGACTAGAGTAACTATTGTTGCCAATCCTCTAGGCCCCTAGGCGGGAATGCTATCACACAGCTACCATCTGTGCCGCCTGTCTGAAACTAACTGTTCCACCTGGTTCACCTTGATGGGCATTCCTGGTTTGGGGTCCAGATCCTAGACTCAAAAGAGAGCCACTATTGTGACAGATGACAGAGGGACAAGCAAAGAGAAAATTAAAGGCCCGTGGGCAAAAAACAATGCCTCTGGGGAAAGGAAGGTCATTTGAGGCTGATGTTAGGGAAGGTGGCCAGCTAGGAGTGTGGTATTCATAATAACCCAACCCAAATATGACACTCTGGAAGATTGGCCCCTCCCCTTTACTGGCGGCAGACTCTGGGGAATTAAGCAGCAGAACCATGTTGCCAACTTTAGCATAAATGTTGGAAATCTTGGCAGCTTCCACTTTAACTTTCTTGGGAGCCCTGGGATTTCATGTCAGAAGGCAGAAGCCTCTTACTGTGCTGGAGCAAGAAGGTCCCTAATCCCAGCATCTCAGCTAGGACCCAGCCAAAGCCACATGCAGCAGAGATTTGTTTAGAGACCCTGCCAGCATCATGACCCCCAGAACCATAACACTTAAAAAGGTTAAAAAAAAAAAAGATTTTTATTTAGTTTCATACACAAAAGCTTTCCCACTGAAGAGAGGCAGCAAAATGGGAAGCAAAGGGGTCTCCCCACACCACCTCATCATCCCATGCTGATTCAGAGAGAGAGAACGAGAAAGAGAGAGAGAGGAGAGAGAGAGAGGAGAGCTCTTCTGATAGCAAGCAGCTCAGACCTCAGCCTGGGCCAGCCTGCACGGACATCATCACAGGGTTGCAGCAGGTATTGTTATCCAAATATATCAAATCCTGTGCATACAGGCGTAAGGAGGGAGGCCTACCAGTCCATGATCCTTCCTGAGCCTCTTCAGTAGCACACACTTAGTCAATTGATTCTGGGACGTCATGCTGTCCTGAAGTTTCTCCCCAACCAGCTGTTGTCTGCCTCTGTTTCCTGAGAGCTCAGATCAAAGGCATGTGGCACCACTCCAGCATTTGGGAAGCAGAGGCAAGTGGAGTTCGAGGCCAGCTTGGTCTATATAGTGAGCACTATACATAGAGACTCTGTCTCTGAAAACCAAACAAAAGAATCCTTTCTTCTAAGACAGTTTGCATTCTCCAAGCAAACAAGTTTTACACAAGCAAGGTCATAAGCAGGGTGGCACATGCTGGCTATGGAGACAGTTATGTGTCTGAAGGGAATGTAACAAGGCCATTGGTACAGAAAAAGGAAAATCTCAGCTTGGACGTCTCCTCAACTCCTTTCTTGAGAATCTTCTCTCAGAGCCTCAATAGACATCTTCCTAGTGAGGGGACCTGCAGTTCTTCTCTGACTGCTGTGCCCTGTACTGCTTATCCCATAATCCCTATCACCTCCCATTCTCACCTGGGTAATCTATAACCTCACCTGCCTTCCATCTAGTACTAGCTCCATCACCTTACAGCCTTTGAAAAGCTTCAAATGTGTTCTTCCATGCCCAAAAGTGGAAGTCTTGTTAAGTGGTATGATTCTTGCAGTGATGCTAAAATCAACACAGTTCTTTGCTTGTCTCCACATAAGTAAATTTAAAAACAAATTTAAAAAGTTATATTTAATTCTGGGGATGAAACCACAGCCTTGCACACATGAGACAAGTGCTCTACCACTGACCTTTACTCCAGACTTCATTAAGTAATTTGACAATGAAATATTGGGCTGAAAGGAATTTATCCAAACATACTGTTGCTTTTGTTTGTTTCGTCACACTAGGAAGGTGTTTGTTCAGCCTGTTGTATGCTTCACACTTCCTGCACAGCTCTGTTCTATCAGCCTTGCCTTGCACTTTGGAAGCAAGCCATAGTTAACTCCTCACTCTCTCATTTTCCCTATCGAATCCCCGATCCTGGAAGTCCGGCCCATTCCTTAAAGCTCATCCCTCTTTTCCTACATCTATTGGCCAATCTGAGGATATCAAGGAGTCAACAAACATGTCAGATGTCCTAGACACTTGGAAAGATAGTCTCATCTCTCTTTAGTAGAGAAACAAAAACAAGGACCAGATGTCTGGCTGGTTTTGAGGTCAAAGAAGCTGCTTAAGCTTGACCCCATGACTAACTCCACTCCTCTGTCCTTATTCCAAGCCCATTGACCCATTGCTGTTAACAGGTATGTGCCCCTAAGGCTCCTGCCATCATGCCTTTTTTCCTCTCAAAACCTTCCATGGCTCCTACTGATCTCCCACTGACCTTTAGCAGTCTCTAAGGGCTTCTATGATAACATGTATCAGAAACAGCCATGGGGTTCAGAAGGCTCCTTAATAGAGGCAACCCTGAGAAATTTCTCTTACTCATCATCCAAAGACCCTAACCTGCCTATCAATCCTGGACTCGACTCTAAACCCCACAGCATGATGTGGTGATTAACTGCAGAATCTGGGTTGCCTACACTCACCTCTAGACTCCCCTGGTGCTGAGCAGTGTGACATGAATTACTGTCATTGTTATCTCCACCAACCCTGAGTGTTAGTATGATCATTGGTGCTTGATGGTATAATATCACGGCTTCAGGCCCTGATGAAGGCCTGCTGCACCTGTGCTCCCTAGGCTGCTGAGTCTCTGCCCTGTGGGAAGAGACTCTCCAGCATCCTGCAGCATCCCGCAGCATCCTGCCCTCAATTCTAGAAGACTGTTTTTTTGGGGGACAAGGTTCTGGGTGAGAGGGTATAGGTGGGAGAAGAAAGAACAAAGAGATTTGCTGGAGTTGGCATGGTTCAAGTTAGTGACCTGTGACCCAACTCACAGGAGCAGCCTGTGACTCTGAGTCTCAAAAAGGAAACAAAACCATCACTCACCACCACTTCTGAGCACAGCTTCCCTCCCTGTTCTGATATTTTAGATCTATTACACAGTGCCAGCCTGCTGAAAGTACATACACATACACACACACACACACACACACACACACACACACACACACACACACACAGACACACATACTCAAATTGCCTCAGTTGCAGCTAATTGAGAACTAAGGAGAGTTAAGAATTTGTAGTCAGTGGCAGGTGAGGTCAGTCAAATTCCTCATTCTAAAAATAACAGGTCAATATGCCCAAATGACTTGTCACTCAGATGGCACCCTGTTGGACTACAGGGCCACATAAAGTGGAATACACAGCCGGCAATGCCCAGTTCAAGTAGAACTCTCCAGCCCAGCAGGTGGGAGGGACACTATTAACGTCTACCAAAAGAGATGACAAATGCTCTCTGGCTGAGGCTGGGGGATGCTCAAGCTTTTCACTTGCTTTGGGGCCCTCTGTCCATTTTCCATGTAAAGAGGGGTCCGGTGACCTTGTTGATCCAGCTCTTGGTTGAGCCATAGTACCAGGCCCACTCATTGCTGGCCAATAAAGTTATGTCTGTGCACAGTGAAGGAGGAAAGAATGTAAAGGCAATGACCAGCAATGTTCATCAGAGTGGCCTAAAGTGCTCCTGAGCCACCATCTTCTGAGTCCTGAAAAATACTATACCAGAGCTAGGGGCTTGCCCTGCCCTGCCACGCTTTCATGAAACTCCACCATCCTGGAGGTACAAACTACCACGTAGAGGAACTGCAAGGATGGCTCTCCAAGCCTCCACTCTGGAGACAATGAAGGCCCGGCTCATTGTGGGTGGAACACCTCAGCCACTGGAAACCCCAACAGCACTATCAGACAGGTCTCAGCCCTCCCTGTGGGGTCATATGCTTTCCAGGGAAATGTTGGCTCCGGTGTCCACCTGACTGGGCCCCAAAGACCAACTTAGCAAGCAGAAGGGGCCACATGCATGCCAACTGGCCAGCTCTGAATGGGAGCTGGCATCACAGAGAGGCCTAAACTATAGAGAAAACCAAGTCAGGTTCCCAGTCCAAAGCCCTGCTTCTGGTCCCTGCCATCTGGTCACCAAGGAAATGGTAGTCTTGGGCCCAGTCCCACAGGACAGCTTGGTGTGTCATAGCTAAGCAGTGATTTTCCCTCTTACAGATTGCCAAAGGTCCAGCCACATGAGGTTTTCAAAACCACTGCTTGCACAGACACACCATGTACACATATGTACACACATGAGAGTAAATAGGCTTCATTGTAGCTGTCTTAAGTTAATGTTGAAAACTGAGTTTAAGAGGAGGCAGTGCATATTTTCATGTGTGGAAAGTGTAAGTATGTTGAGTGTGAGTGTGTGGATGTGGGGGGCTGTATGTTTGGGAATGTTTGTGAATAGTGTATTAGTTACTTTTCTAACACCTCAGTGCCTTATGAAAGAGTTTATTTGGACTTAGGGTTGCAGAGGGTTTAAGCCTCAATAGCAGGGGCAACTTAGAAGCAGGCAGTAGTTAGGCATGATGTCTGGAGAAGCAATCTGAGAGCTCACATTTTGAATCACAGATACAAAGTAGAGAGTCAAAGTGGAAATGGCACAAGTCTTTAAACTCTTAAATCCTATCCCCAGTGATGCACTTCCTTCAGCAAGATGCCACCTCCTAAACTTCCCCAAACAGCACTTAGGAACTAAGTATCCTAAGTCTATGAGGTATGTATATCATTCAAAG